GAGTAAGACGCAATTGCTCTCTGAAGTCAGATTTTTAGGGAGCAGTCCCTGATTATTAAGAACAGGTTCATGCAGAAGGGGTATTCTATGCAATTTTTGGATAATATTATTGAGGAAGTATCAGGGATTCCCAGGGATACTACACTTAAGGAGAAATCAGTTAGCTCACAAACTGACAAACATCAGTGGAGTATTATTTCCAACTATCATTTATATTTATTAAAATAATTACACTTTCATGTTCTGTGCACTGTGAGAGACCAGATATAGTGGATTCAGGGTCCTGAGTTTAGTAACACTTTAAGTTTCATTTTGTGTGCTACTTTCTTCACATTACTAGGGCCAACTTTGTCTGCCAACCAATAAATAGATATTGACAAGACTCACTGGCTCTTCACACTAGAACTCATATGTTAAAATATACTGTGAACTGACAGTGTGTTCTATAAAATGGTGCATTGGTTTTTGAAAGATTCAATTTTAATTGACTTTAATGGCAAACTGCAAGTCAATATACCTAAAGTGTAAAGTGTAGGACTTATTTAGTACTCTAAAGAGCAACAGCTCTATTGAATACAACTATGCTTTCTATGTTGATGCATTTTTCCTGCATTGGAAAATGTCTCAAAGTGCTAGACAACACAGTAGGTGTCAATAAATCCTTAAGCTAAAAAAGTGGGAAACCTGGAAATTATATGCTATGTTGCCCGTTCATCTGAATCCTCAGAATTTATAAAATAATTATGTGGTAGGTAATTGTGAAAAGGAGGGCATAAAGTGCACTGATTTGAAAACTAGAATGTTTTCAATAATATATATCTTCCCTTTCTCTATGCTGACATATCCTGTCCTATCCTGTGTTGTTCTTTCTCAAATCCTGTTCTGGCCTCAGACTATTAATTGAACTTCGAGACTGGAAAGGAAATAAGAAAAAAATCACCTGCATTTTTTGTGATATCCTAGTTCCCACCATATCTGAGCACAACTCTTCTTTAAATGTTGACATTATGGCAGAGGAACTCTGTTCAACAATTCAAATCTTAAGACAGGCAAAAGACTGCACCTTGATGGATATACTGCTCTATTTTTATTAGAAATTCTCTGATTCCACACTTGTTAACTAAAAATAGTAACGTTTTTCTCCCGAATCTCTACAGGCTAACATAGCCATGGTTCCTAAACAGACTCCTGACCTTTATTCCTGGTCCAACCATAGACAAATCTCATTTTTGCACAATGATGCAACAATTTTGTTGAAAAATCTTAGTCACTAGACAGAACCTTTTTTCTAGGCTATGTTATTTTCTATGTTATCCATAAAGTTCAGGTGGGCCTTGTGCTGTTGAGGTTTATATTTCACAGGTGAGCAAAATAAAATTGATGATGTTCTCAGAAAACATTCTTCTGCGTATATCTTTTCTCTATACAACCATGCCCAATTTCTTTACCACCCTTTCAACTTTTGCAGCCAATGAGTCAATGTCAATGAGGTGAAAGCCCTACATTTAAACATGACAGCATCCACCGCTGCCAGCTACTGTTCTCAGTGCAAGGGTTTGGTTGCTAGGACCACCCATGTCCTATCAATCAATCACATGCTTTCCTCTTCCTCTACCTGATGTATTTAATGCCTTTTGAGAATCACTGTCTAAAAGATTCCTAGTCAAAGGGTCTTTTTTGTGTACTATATAAGGCCTTCACTGATTCTACAGCCCCATCACAGCTCCAATACATGGAAAAATAGGAAATGTACCTTGGGGAATTCCTAGTCCAAGCTGACTGGAATAAAATGTGGATCATTGTAGCAATACAATTCTTACAAAGAATTGTGGTATATGACATCGGATTTCATTGCCAAATTTATCCCAAATGCCTCTCTGATATCATATTGAGATTGCAGGGAAGACTCATGATACCCTTGTACATATCTGCTGGCACTGCCCTATGGCCTGTCGATTCTGGATCTGAGTACACAATATGATTAGAACAGACTTTAACTGCAGCCTGACAGAATCCATGGGAAGCTTTGTTACATAGACCAGTTTCAAACCTTAGCAAACATGAGTGGAGACTAGTGGGGTTTGTGTGTCTTGCTGCCAGGAAAATATTGGCTATAGCTTGGAAACAACCATCTGTCAATCTTGCAGACGTGAAACTGATGGCCATCATGGTATATGAGAAGTGAATAAAAGTTTGCACTAGCCAACTATAAATACATATTAAAGAATGCCATATTAAAGAATGCCATATGAAATCACATATACATAAATCAATAAATATCATATACCATAACTAAAACATTAAAAAAAATACATTGAAAAAAATGTGAAATTGAAAATAGTCCCAAACACCAATTTAATGTGAAAGTCCATATAGTAACCAAATCTTGCAATTGTGTTCCACCACCGTGTATGGTCAAAATGAGAGAACTTCCCAACAAAGTGGCCAGAAAGCGTATAAGCCCTAATCCTGTAAACTGAAGCTCCTGAGTAGCACTGTTCAGACCTGTCCCACCTGTTCTCCTAAAACTCTTTTCCTTGTGCATTGATACTTCAGGCTGATAAGGAAACAGATTTCATTACTGTTCTGGATAACATCCTGTACTAAGGAAGATTTTGGCTTAGATTGCAGGAGGTAATTTAGTGTCACTTCAGTGGAAGAGGTCTGAAGGATTCTGCAGGACCAGGCATCGCACCTGTTGTTTACAGGATTTGGGTTTATATGCTTGCTGGCCACTGGTGAGCTCTCATTTTGTCCATACACGGTGGTGGAACACAAATCAGATTACAAGGTTTGATTACCAGCTGGACTGTCACATTAGATTGGTGTTTAGGACTTTTTCAATTTCACTTTTTTTTTCCATTTATTATTTATTTTTATTCACTATGGTTTGATTATGTGATATTTATTGATTCACATATATGTGATTTTCATATGGTGCTCTTTTATATGAATTTATTTTTGGCTAGTGCCCACTTCTATTCACTTCACATCTATGATAAGTGTTATTGCACTTAAAGAGGCAGCTGCCTAGATATTTATTGACATCATGAAATACCATATATTCTGATTTAGTTTGGCGCTGTTTCTTCCTTTCTTCGGTTATCATGGAATATAAGAAGCTTACTGCAATACTCAGTGAAACTCATCCAAAATTTCTCAAAATTGTGGCTAAATTATAATAATCATATGAACCTTGATCACTCTCTTCTTTCGATATAACCATTTTCTAAAGCAATGGAGCAGTTATGCATCTGACCAGGTACCCATGGGATCTCATATCCCTAATTCCTCTCCCCTTTTAATCAGTCTTCTTCCCTCCCCACTAATTTCCCCTATCCAGATCTCTCTAGCTATCTACCTTTCGTCTTATTCTTTCCTTTCTCAACTCTTCACTTTCTCCCTTTCATTATCTCTTTGCTCTTCCACAAACAGAGCAATTATTTATCTTTATATATATTCATTATCTTCATGAGCCATTAGGCAAGTTAAACAGCTATAATTTATGGTATTAACCTCATCCCCTTCTTCCTCCTCAACTATATCATTTGAGAACTGAACTATTTTCCTTGTTGTCTATCTAACATGCTTATTTTGTTGCATGGTTGTACCCAATATCATTAATTTGTACAATCTATCTGTCAGCACTTAAACCTATTATGTCTAATAATATGACTTCTTGAAAACTGACAAAAAAAAACCAAAAATTTTGATAAAAGAAAAAAAAATTACCTGAACTGTAGGTCAATAATGAAAACAATCACCAGTTAAAGCAGTTGTGTATTTACATGATTATCATTGTTTTTTAAAATATACTAATATACTTATTTCCATCTGTGTTCATAGGAAGGGAGAGGAAGCACTGCTACATTACAGTTTTAGAATCCAGCTTGCTGACAGGAACAGAGAACAGAGTGAGAATAATTGTAAATATTGTATTGTTCAACTGGCAGTGGTTGTGTTGCTAACCAAGCTGCACTGGAGAAGTGAGGTCACTGACATTACAGTGCAGCCTAGTAGGAGTTTCATCCCAAAACTAGCTGAACAGATATAAACATCTATAGGTATTTAAAACTATTTACACATGAATATTTAAATTTTCCATTCCATTTCCCAGGTTCTAATTATCTATAGGCTATGCATGAGAACTACAGTTTGGCTGAATCGTTCAATGAGATGATGCCTAGCATTTCCCCTTTGGCCAAAAATATAATTCTATATCTGAAGAAAGTATCTACAGGTATATCTGCCATTTATTGCAATGGAAGCCAAAATGGGATGTTTAACTAATTTGTAAAGTCTGTAGTTTTAGATATACAGTATGTATGCATAGCACAAAACCTATTTCTTCCTCAGTAAATTCCTGTCTACTTTAAGGGAAGATGGGCAGTGCATAGAAGAAACATAGACCTTTACTGGTCACTAATGGACAAAAAATGAATTGCAAAAGTTCAATATTTTCTTAATTCATTCATTTTATACTTACCTGCTCTTTGCAATGGTTATGCACAGAGCAGCCCTGAATCTCCTTCTTTCTCTTCTAGGGTCCCTAGCCAGCTCTCTTGGCTCCTCCTCCCTTCTGAGTGCCCCCATAGCAAGCCGCTTGCTATGGAGGCACTCATGCAGGCTCGATCCTGAGCTGGACTGTGTGCATCTATTGACACACCCAGTGCAGCTTGGCCCCATCCCCCTCCTCACAGGATTTGATTCATGTCCAGTGAGGAGAGAAAGAGAGCAGCACCTCTGCTCTCGGGCACAGCACATGATCAAAATCAGGCTCAGGTAAGTATTTATGGGGGGCTGAGGGAAAGCTGATCAAGAAGATTAAAAAAAAACCCCTCTGCTTATACAACCACTTTAACCTCCCTGTCGGTATTTCCGAGTGTAGCTCGGGGTAAAGTTTCAGTACAAAAAGCGGTAACCCCGAGCTACACTCGGGAATACCAAACAGTGTTGCTCAGGGATTCCCTGCAGCACTTACCTTGTCCTGCACTCCCGCGATGTGTCCCCTGCAGCAATCCCGGCCATCTCCTCCGGCCGATGCCAGCATCCGTCTTTTGGGTTCCGGTCCCTGTGAGCGTCGGGACATACGGCACGTATGGGGGCCGGAACCGGCGGGAAATTTGAACATTTTACAAACTGACATTCACTAATACACTAAAATCACATAGTAAAACATTACAGTTTCAAGCCATTTCACATACATTTTGTCCCTACTGCTTTGTCCTGTGCCCTGCCTGCATTTTTACTGTTCTTTCTGCCTGGAAAGTTAGAAAAGCCCATGGCGTCCAAAAAGCGTCCCTTTATGTCAAAAGCGATTTTAGACCAGCTAGAATACAGCGATAGTGAATCAGAACCACTTGCAGAATTGAGTGATAATGATTTGTGGGGAAATTCGTCATCAGACACTGAAAACGATTCTGCGACTGAGTTCAGTGATGTGCGAACTTGGCACTCTATTTCAAATTTCAGTGTTTTTGGTTTGATTATATTATTGAATTAAATTTATTATTATATTATTGAATTAAATTTATTATTATATTATTATTTTTTATGATTATTATATTATAATTTATTATTTTGTGTTTCAAGTTTTATCATACCCGGGATGTTTACTAGACTCTTGTTCGGACAGATTTCAGTGATTTATTCCTAAAAATTACAGGTCTACAATATAAAACAACATATTTCCATGCAAAAAAAATGTACTGCTTTCAGCACAGAAATATTGACATAATCATACCGCTAGGGAGGTTAAGTAGTTATCATGTACCCTAGATTGGGGGGGTGTCACATTTACTAAGTGAATCAAAGGGGAAAACAGTAAACATTTAATCAGATTTGCCATTTAGTTGCAGTTTTCATGATGTTGAAAAGGTTTCCCTGTAGAGAGATCATTCTACAATCCCAAGAAAACCATCCTTATGTACTTTGGGGCGTTCTCAGTCATATAATATGTAGCTGGCAGAGTTAGATGTATTTTTGAGCTGGCAAAATTTTGTCCATAGACAAAATTTTAACAAATGCAGTTGCCAGTATTATAATGCTTAGCAACTGCTAACAAATAAAGAATAAAGCATAACCATGAGTTTTTAATGAGTTAACTTTGATTGGAATATTATGATAAGCGATTAGCATTTTAATTGAAACCAGCTTCAGTGTGATACACCAAAATAAACTAAAATCTTTGCATAGTGTGCTTTATATAGGCATACCAGGCCAAAGTTAAGCCATGGAAAATCTGACATTATAAAGCATTTTTTAATGAGCACGGCTGAGGATTATGCCTTTTTTCAGCACAACCAAGGGAAACGTACAAACTAAGATAAGATAAACATATTAAGGCATACTGATTTTACAATACTTATACCTTAGAACCTGTAGGTGTTAATTACATAGGTAGGATGAAAAAAAAAACATTCAGTATGTCCATCAAGTTTAATCTCAATTAAAAAAATGTTGCATATTCAAAAACCGTAGCTGACCAAGAAGATGTCAAATATCCTTAAAAAACATGACCTAATTTGCCTTAAGGCAAAGATTTTGTAGCACCCACTTAGATAGGCTGATAAGATTTTGTTAGGCAAATTTAGCCCTGTCGCTCTCCTATAATCAGTAGAGTTGTGTGTGATTACTTTTGGCTCTGCAGGCTGCAAGTCTGACTGCTCCCCCTTGTTTGCTGGAGCTTTCCATTCCAGAGCATAGTGGTTAGGAGAGTCAAATGAATAGCCTGAATAAATGGCTCAAGCCAATATTATTTTGGCACCTCAGAGAGCAAAGTTGTTTTCCAAGAGGAGCTCTAATATAAATTGCACTTGTTTGTGACAGGTAAAACGTGAATATTTTTCCATATTCTCTGTGGAGGCAATGTATATAATTATATAATGTGATCATTTTCAACTTATCCACTTCTTCTGTATGGCCAAATATATTACTCTTTCATTGCAACTTTTTCATGTATTTTCCCTTCTATGCACTTTTTCAATTTCAGGACATCTTTTTTGTGAACTGTAAATTCAAGATGAAGCCATATTAATGCTTTATATAGGTCAGCCATTTTAAAAAAGGGTTCTGTGGAACCCTAGGGTTCCTCTAGAGCAGCGGTTCTCAACCTGGGGGTCGCGACCCCTTTGGGGGTCGAACGACGCTTCCACAGGGGTCGCCTAAGACCATCGGAAAACACATATTTCCGATGGTCTTAGGAACCGAGACACCGCTCCTGGCCGCCGCCGCCGCCACCGCCGTCTCCAGGTGTGGGCGGGATGACATGCCGCCCCTGTCATCTGGACACACCTCGAGATCAATCCTCGCCTGTGATTGGCCGCCCGGCACTGTAGATCAGGAGAGGCACACAGGCGGCCAATCACCGGCAAGGAGGTGGAGCTTGGAGAGGAGGAGCCGAGCGGCACCGCGAAGATCGAGCGAGTGAAGAGGAGGAGAGCGGCCGGAGAAGGAAGACATCTGACAGGTAAGTGTCGGTACCATGGGAGAGGGAGGGAGCGAGCGAGCCCAGGCTGGAGCAGGGGTCTGCAAGGTAAGTATCATTGGTGTCAGTGGGAATAGTGCCCCATCATTGGTGTCACTAATACCAATGATGGGGCACTATTCCTCCCACTGACACCAACGATGGGACACTATTCCTCCCACTGACACCAACGATGGGGCACTATTCCTCCCCCAAATGACACCAACGATGGGGCACTATTCCTCCCCCAAATGACACCAACGATGGGGCACTATTCCTCCCCCACTGACACCAAGGATGGGGCACTATTCCTCCCCCACTGACACCAAGGATGGGGCACGATTCCTCCCCCCACTGACACCAACGATGGGGCACTATTCCTCCCCCCACTGACACCAAGTATGGGGCACTATTCCTCCCCCCACTGACACCAAGGATGGGGCACTATTCCTCCCCCCACTGACACCAAGGATGGGGCACTATTCCTCCCCCCCCACTGACACCAAGGATGGGGCACTATTCCTCCCCCCACTGACACCTATGATGGGGCACTATTCCCCCCACTGACACCTATGATGGGGCACTATTCCCCCCACTGACACCAATGATGGGGCACTATTCCCCCCACTGACACCTATGATGGGGCACTATTCCTCCCCCCACTGACACCAATGATGGGGCACTATTCCTCCTCCCACTGACACCAATGATGGGGCACTATTCCTCCCACTGACAGCAATGATGGGGCACTATTCCTCCCACTGATACCAATGATGGGGCACTATTCCCCCCACTGACACCTATGATGGGGCACTATTCCTCCCCCCACTGACACCAATGATGGGGAACTATTCCTCCTCCCACTGACACCAATGATGGGGCACTATTCCTCCCACTGACAGCAATGATGGGGCACTATTCCTCCCACTGATACCAATGATGGGGCACTATTCCTCCCACTGATACCGATGATGAGGCACTATTCCTCCCACTGACACCGATGATGGGGCACTATTCCTCCCACTGATACCAATGACGGGGCACTATTCCTCCCACTGATACCAATGACGGGGCACTATTCCTCCTCCCACTGATACCAATGACGGGGCACTATTCCTCCCACTGACACCAATGACGGGGCACTATTCCTCCCACTGATACCAATGATGGGGCACTATTCCTCCCACTGATACCAATGATGGGGCACTATTCCTCCCACTGATACCAATGATGAGGCACTATTCCTCCCACTGACACCTATGATGGGGCACTATTCCCCCCACTGACACCAATGATGGGGCACTATTCCTCCTCCCACTGACACCTATGATGGGGCACTATTCCTCCCACTGATACCGATGATGGGACACTATTCCTCCCACTGATACCGATGATGAGGCACTATTCCTCCCACTGACACCGATGATGGGGCACTATTCCTCCCACTGACACCGATGATGGGGCACTATTCCTCCCACCGACACCGATGATGGAGCACTATTCCTCCCACTCATACCGATGACGGGGCACTATTCCTCACACTGACACCGATGACGAGGCACTATTCCTCACACTGACACCAATGACGGGGCACTATTCCTCCCACTGACACCAATGATGGGACACTATTCCCCCCCCACTGATACCAATGATGGGGCACTATTCCTCCCACTGACACCAATGATCGGGCACTATTCCTCCCACTGATACCAATGATGGGACACTATTCCTCCCACTGATACCAATGATGGGGCACTATTCCCCCCCACTGACACCAATGATGGGGCACTATTCCTCCCACTGATACCAATGATGAGGCACTATTCCTCCCACTGATACCAATGATGGGGAACTATTCCTCCCACTGACACCAATGATGGGACACTATTCCTCACACTGACACCAATGATGGGGCACTATTCCTCCCACTGATACCAATGACGGGGCACTATTCCTCCCACTGACACCAATGACGAGGCACTATTCCTCCCACTGACACCAATGACGGGGCACTATTCCTACCACTGATACCAATGACGGGGCACTATTCCTCCCACTGATACCAATGACGGGACACTATTCCTCCCACTGACACCAATGACGGGGCACTATTCCTCCCACTGACACCAATGACAGGGCACTATTCCTCCCACTGACACCAATGACAGGGCACTATTCCTCCCACTGACACCAATGAAAGGGGCACTATTCCTCCCACTGACACCAATGAAAGGGGCACTATTCCTCCCACTGACACCAATGACGGGGCACTATTCCTCCCACTGATACCAATGATGGGGCACTATTCCTCCCAATGACACCAATGACGTGGCACTATTTCCTCCTACTGCAAAATTACAGTTATGAAGTAGCAACGAAAATAATTTTATGGTTGGGGGTCACCACAACATGAGGAACTGTATTAAGGGGTCGCGGCGCTAGAAAGGTTGAGAACCACTGCTCTAGAGGTTGCTAGGGGTGAACTGCTCTCACCTTGCTATGACTGACAAAAAGGGACTATTACCTGCGGTCCAGTTGACTGATGGTAAGTTCTCATCTGACTCTTACACTTCTCTGAAAGCTTGATACCACCGGATTCACCTACTGTCTGATATAGGACCATTCTCACCTCAGTCTGGAGTCTTAAGCTATGCTTAGATCATCTATCCTTGCCCAAGAAACATTTATCCATGCAGCACAGAGCCCTGCACTTTGTGTCTCCTTGTCCCGGAAATTTTCACTGTGCACTCTCATACTTGTCCTAGAAATCCTATACACAGTGTAGTTTCCATTTCCCTGGAACCCCTGTATACTGTGCATTACTCAGCCCCTCATTCCTGTGTGCAGTACTATTCCACCACTCATAATTCCAGTGGCCAACACCCTGCTGGAGCCTCTTGCTTACCTTGTTTTGGATGGTAGTAACTGAGGTATTAACATGGCTAAGAAAAGCAGCCAACTCATCTCCACCATGAGGAGCTCTGGAGAGAAGACCATCTTTTCTTTGATGCCACTGCTCAGTGAATCCAGCCATAGTCAGGGTGGATTCTCTCTATCCATGTTTGGCGGAACAGTGACCTTGAGCCATACTTACAACATGAACCCTGCATATATAACCCTCCCTGAGGAGAATCTACTTCTGGAAATGGCCAAAAGATTGGACGCCCAAGAATAAAACCAAGTCACAATGTTTACAAGTCATAATGTTTCATCTACAGAGCCTGCTCACTGGCTTCAATCAGTTCTCAGCATACAGCATCTCCAACTTTTGGTCTTCCTGTCCCTCCCTCTGGCCCTTTCACAGTCCCAGCTTGCTTCGCTCTCTGCATACCGCCTCCAAAATGATATTCTAGTGATTTGTTTTCCTACAGAGGATTTCTGAATCAATGTTGTACACATTTCGAGCTTGAGCCTCACAATATTTCCTTTGGCTGGTCCAAGGTAGCATATATAATTTTACTTCTATCAGTTAACACCTTGGCCTGGGCCTCACCCCTCTGGGAAGACAGAGATCTCATTACCTTGGATCAGTTCATGTCTGCCTTCTTACGCACTTTTGATGAACCTGGCCAAACATCCCCTGCTGCTGCCATCCATTTTTGGTTAAGCCAGGGACTCACTACTGGAGGCCAGTATGTGATGCCTTTACCCAATCTTTCCTCAGAGCTGGCATGGAACGATAATGCTTTTTTGGCTATATTTTAGCAGGACCTTAATGGCAGGATCAAGGATAAATTGGTTGGTAGAATGCTACTATCTGGCTTCAATGATCTCACAATTCTCAGTACCAAGATCAATATCCACTTTCATGAAAGGGCCTTCCTGGTAACCTAAACTCCCCCCAGCTCAGTGTTTGTTCAAACCTACCCAAATTCTGGGGGTGGGGGGGCGCTCGTGAGCAGCTTCTAGGATGGCCGCATTGAAGGCCTGCTCCTCGGCCGCCAGACACATTGGACGATTTCTAGCCCTTGGGGGGGGGGCAGTCACCTGCCTTCCCTCCAGCCCCTCCTAGCCCCCCGCACCTCCAGCGCCCGGAAGGCCGCGCTGGAATTTCTGGACTACCCACCGGAGGCCGCATCTGAAGCCACGGCCTCAATTTTGGGTCAGCCGCTGGAGGGTTTCAGGGCCCCGCGGCCTCAATCTCGGGTCTTCCACCGGAGGCCGCAACTGCAGCCCGGCCTCGATTTTGGGTCCCCAGCCGCTACCCGTGGGTGGGCCGGATCCCAGAGGTTATGATGACCTGGCATCAGAGGCATCCCTGCAGTCTCCCACTCCAGTTCTGAGGAATGCTGAGCTCCTGCGCCACTTCAAGTCCATGTTGCAGTCGGAATTGTCCCCCCACTACTTCCAAGCTGGCCGACTGTCTTTTGCGAGAAATTAGGGAGTTGGGCAATCGGACGAACGATCTTGAGGATAAAATGGACGCTGCGGCCATGGTCATTGAAAATCAGGAACAGGATTTGTGTGACCTCAAGAAAGAATTAGCGATGCGCTGCTCCGGCTCGAGGATTTAGAAAAAAACGCTCCCGCCGTGGCAATTTGCAATTAAGGGGTATCCCAGAAATGGTCACAGATCTCACCTCCACCTGCTCTGTTTTTATTTGCTGACTCCCGCCATTCTCATTGACCGGCTCGAAGTTGACTGCATACACCGTGCATTGGGCCCCAGACGACCGTATGAGCCAGAAGATTACGTTTGTCTCTTACTACGCGCCCAATCGCTTTCAGCATAAATTCTTTTCTCATCTTTGCACCATTGTTTCCCGACACTCCTAGGGTCTTCTTCTTTTGATTCAAATGTTACTTTGGACTCCACATTGGATAGGCTATATGCCCGGGGGGCGGCCCCTTCTCACAACTTAGTGCTAGAGGAACGTATGCGCTCTCTTTTGCAGACGGCGGAGCTGGCAGACATCTGGAGGGAACTTCACCCAACTGAGCGCAACTTTACATTCTATTCCAATCTTCATGACAGTTTTTATAGAATTGACCATATATTCATGCATGTCCAGCAGCTTCCCTTGGTCAGGCGGATAGCTATTCCCTCCTCGCCCTGGTCAGACCATGATCCCCTGCTACTCCTCCTTACCCTCTCTGGGTCGGTACAGCACCCCTTTCACTGGCGCATTAATGATTCTCTATTGACCACTCAGGTTACCTGCCAACAAATAGAATCTTTCTTACGCACATAATTCATGGCAAACTCAGGATCTGTCTCTTTGGCAGTGCCCCTGTGGGAGGAGCATAAAGCCATGGTGTGGGGTTATGTTATACAGCTGGCGGCGGTACGGAATCATGCGTGGGAGTTGTGCTAATAAGCCGGGTCCGATGCTGGCTAGGAAACTCAATTCTGTGGGGAAACCCCATAAATTGATCCAATTGCGACTTCCCGCGGATGGCTGTACCCTAATCCCCAGCAGATTGTCTCCCGTTTCGCAGACTTCTTTTCGTGCATTTACGCTAAACCAGATCCCTTCACTGTGGCTCAGGCAGAGGCATTCTTCCAAGATCTCCAACTTCCTGGATTATCCAAGGCAGCGCAGATGGCCCTCAACGCCGGTGTCACCATATCGGAAGTGCTCCAAGCTATCAAATCTCTACGGTCCACCGTGGCCCAAGGTCCTGACGGCTTCTCCGGTCTCTATTA